CCAAGTGAGCCAGACCCAATCCCTCTATTACAATCAGTTTTTTTGTGGATCTTTCATGCATACCGTCTGCATAGAACTAAACCTTAGATCATTTTCATAAGCATCTTCAGTACCCGATCAAAATGCGATCGGAAACTGAACATCAGCTGTTTCCATCCAAATCTGTCACGATCTGTTACTTTCATTATTTCTGCATGTCACCTTCTATGATGCTTACTAGTCTTTTCTGTCACGATCTTTCATGATTTCTACTTATGTCGGTCACGGTGTGTGGAAACGGTCGGACGGGTCAAAGTTTTTACCATTTAACACTTCAACACTCTTTTATGGATCGATTTTTACAAAAAATAGTATGCGATTCGTGATCTATCTTTTTGGACTTGTCTTCTATTCGATCAACAAATCTAGTTGAAAAAATTAAGGAAAATGAATGACCATCGAGAGGCTTAATGGAAGGAGGGTCAATATAGACGATCGATTGCATTGAAAAAGAAAAGATTCTTACAGGCGTAGAGAATATTCTTATATCGAAAATATTAATATTGATAATAATAGAAAAGTTTCCGCTGCTTTTCAAGTTCAAAAGAATAGATTCAAATCGGCGTTACATAGAGACAGAATAAATGCGTCCGTTATCGTTGCAAGACCCTATATTATAGTTTATGAAATAGAATTCACTGAGGCTATCAACGACAGTTTCAGATTTTCTCAATCAGAATGATCATCGAGGACATAAAGGGTGGAATCATTTGAGAAGTAGATTTTCCGTTTTCTTTTAGAGAAATCGTAAAATAGGCTGCCTAGTGACGAAGAATTGGATTAGAGGAATTCACACATTCGAGTAGGATTGTCTCCATCTTAAAACTTAGCTAGAATGACCAAAAAGTACTTACCCAAAAGTAAAATGATAAGAAAAGAAAAGGATCATCGAACATTCTCTCAACATAATATACATCCAGTGGAGAGCGTATAATAATACAAAGGATTGATACTCGCATTCTTGTGCTAGAGGGCCTTAACCAACTGATACAATTTAGAATTTCTAACCACTCACTACTTCCCATCAACTATACAAATTCGTAATCGAAAAGCGCTTGGAAATTTCGGGAAATTTCTTCGTTGAATACTGAGCCTAATCATATAGGATTTTCATGCTTCGCGAAAAGTCCCATAGAGATGAAGCACTTGAACGGAGCATAGTCATCCTCGGAATTTAGTACCATTCAGTAGCCTCCCCAATCCTCTATCGAATGACATATAATAGTAAAGGTTTCATTCTAAGGATAAAAATATTTTGTTGACCAAAATTCTCATGGATCAATATTTCCCTAGAAATTCATAGAAAACTAAGATACTGCTCGTCGAAAATCATGAAGCTCTGAACCGATTTGGCTCATCTTCGAACTCGACCGAGATATTGATGGGATAGAGGCGTGTACAAAATTTCAAGACGATCGGACGCGTCGTTCAAAAGTTATCGGATAAACGGCCGGACGGCCGGACACACTAACCGATTTTAGAGTGTACTCACTTTTTGAGTACACAAAAATCTAAAAAGGTTTCTATTGGAATAATCTATTTCGATCGATAAACAGATCAACCTATATCCAGGAAGAATACAAATTAATCTGCTGAGTCTCAACTCTTGCTTTATCAGCAATCGATCTATCTATCGAAGAAGTTCAATTAATTCAGATAATAAAAGATTGTAATGCAGTATTTCCAATTTGCCGACGCGTTTCGTGTTTATTTATTTTAATTTAGAAAACACTCATCAGGGCACTGCATTACAAAGGAAAATGTTTTAGATGAAAGAGATAGAAGATATAAATTTCTGAGAAAAGTTTAGGAAAGAAAACGGGAGAGGAAATGATCAAGAGGGCTCGATGCGTATGTAGAACTTGTAGTGGTTCAAATTAACAGGCTCGGTTTAGATTTCTAGTGTGAATCAATCGATGCTGTAGGTTCCCGACATTGCGTGTTCCAAGTATTGGACTAAGATCACTAATAGGAGAAGCAGAGAAATATTTCCTCCATAATGCGTGGAACCGGATAGGAAATGTCCGCATGTTGGAACAATAAGTAGAATGAATAAATATATTGTTCTCAAAATCGACTGGTAATTTCTCTGGGTATGAAACTGAAATGATTGTTGAGCGAATATTGATGTAATTTTGCGAGGTTATTGTCTGACTAATTTTATAATTGTCTAACACCAATTGGAATTGTTTTCGAATTAAGTCATCTGGATACTTGTTCAACAGTAAAGCCATCCGTAAATTCTCTCGCTCATTGATAAATAATTGAAATGAAGAACAATATCTAATTGCACGAAGGAACATTGCGTATGGAATATTCTTTTTCATATGCATTGGATGGATACTGTGGAATGGTAGATAATATGGTTCATAGGAGGGTTTATGAAAGACACGAGTGGTTAACGTTCCATCGTGGTTTTCCTTATATAAATCTAGAAAATTGGCTGAGTGACCGATGTGAGCTTTTAATTTTATATTTTCATCCATTTGATTCCATATTTCAATTTGTTTCAGGAGATGACGTTCAGGCCAGTTGATGGCGATGAATAGATCGTCTATATATCTGAGGTAAAGGCCACCACTATTATTCGTTTGTTTGACAATTTGTTGTTCAAAGAAAAACATATAGCAATTGGCTATTGTCAGTGTCAGTGGGGATCCAATTGCTCCGCCTCGTATCTGGTGATAATATTGTCCATCGAAGGAGAAATAATTGTTCTGCATCACGAATCGACTAAGACATATAATAGTTTCTACTTTTAATCCTTGAACTTGTTTCATTTTTAAGTAATCGAGCATTTTCTTTAGAGCAAGAACACCTTCGATTTGAGGAATCATTGTATAAAGGTCTGTCACATCTATTGTACAAAATAATGTTTCTTTTGTCGATCTCCTTTGAGACCATCGATCTAGTTGTGCGGCTAATTCGAAACCGGATTCAATTGTTGTTTGTTTTGCCATTTCATTAAACAATGGTCTTAAAAGGTCATCGAGAAATTTTGAGATTTTAATTGTGGGATGGCGAAGACCAGAAATGATAGGTCGTAGAGGAGTTCCTAATTTATGCGCTTTCGGAAGATAATATAAATGTGCCAATTCGGCTTCACTTTGATTTACGCAGAGTAATTCATATTGTTTCTGAGTGATCCATTTCGCTAATCTTAAATCTAGCAGATATTTATTTGTTCGCTGAATTAGATCAGGTAAGGGATCACTTGTACCGAGGCATTGATAAGCTCGAGTTTTATCCATATATTCTTTAGATTTCTTCCGATAATCTTCTAATTTACCCAAATGAAATACCTTCGATTTATCAGTTTTTTGAAGAATAATATTGTTCAATCGAAATTTATGTTTTAATCTCTTGACTAACCGGCCATAATTCTTTTTATTGGTCACTTTTGGTTTAAAAGATTGGCTCGGAATAATTAAATCATTGGAGATTTCTAAAATTAATCGTTGATTCATTGAATTGTTTAAGCTTTGTTGTCGATGAAGAGGAACTGAAGCGTTGTGTAATCTTTGGAGTAATAGATCCAGCTCAATAATAAATTGATCAACTGGACGACCGGGGCATGCTCTTTTTTCGAAGAATTTTCGTTCGAGCTTTCTTTTCAAAGTTGCCAACTCAGTTGTTCGTCGTCTTGCTGCAGTTTGCGGATCATTAAAAATGAATCGTGGACCTAATTTCAGTACCTCTTCCTCTTCATCGGTTAATTTAATATTAGCTTGATTCATTATAGCTGGAGCAAGAAATCCTCGCCCAGCGAACGTGTTAAAGTCGGGGCAACGATTATTGGTTGTTCGGGATTGTCTGGCTCGCCCTCGACTCGCTGTTCTTCTAAAAAATAAATTGATTGGTCAGCTTCTATGTTCATTCGTTTTTCACGTATTTCTTGATATTGTTTGAAGGCTGCAAAGCCAGGTTCGGCATCAAAGCCATCATCGTTATCTTTTGGAAAGCCTTCAATGATACGTCTAATTTCTGTTCCCAACAGTTCTTTTTCACGAGTCATCGATTGTAAATAGAGATTCATGGCACTTGTTCGATAATTCTTGGTGATTTGTCGCATTTGATTGTACATTTCTTGAGCTTCTTCTTTGGCGACAATTGATTCGTCAATTTTAAAATTAAAATCGATTTTACCAATAAAATTCGGAGGGAAATCATATTCAATACGTTTTGTAGCTGTCAAATAATTCTTGTTTTTTGTCGACCAAAGTTTCATTTTTGGTTTAAGCGTTAGATGAACATTCCATTGTAATGGAGTTGCTATTTGTTCAAAATCTTCTAAAGCTTTGAATTCTTCTATTTGAACTTTAGCCAATCTAATTTTACTCTCAGCTAATCGTTTGGCATGTTGTGTGCATTGATGAATATATCGAAGAGTTAATTTTTCAATTCGATCAACAGGATCACGATTACGAGTAGTAGTTGTTGTTGATGGAGTTGTTATAATTCCATCAGTTGTCGTTACCGTTGTTGCCGCTGTTGTTGCTTCTATAGATGCATTGGGATTCAGAACTGGTGTAGTTGTTGATGCATTAGTATTAGTTATTTGTGACCAGTAAGTGTTTAATTGTATTTGAAGATCAGAAATAGTAGCATTGGCTTCAGCAATTTTTGCTGATAATTGATTGATCTTCTTTTGAACAAAACAAGTACAAATAACATCATCTCGTCGTTTTGTTCGTTGAACCACTTCTTTAGCCCAATGTTTCTGTTCTGTGCCCATTTTAAGATAAGTTTGCTAGACTTGTAATTCATAATTGTTTCTAACCCATTCATCATAGATTGGAGCTGTGGCTAAGACATAAGCTTGATTACCACGGCTATTAATAGCATGTAAACAATTCTTTTGTAAGTAGGACATTATTCGACTATGTTCTAGATAAAGACGTTGTTTATTTTGTTTCTTTGGCTTTGAATTGATTCGATCATTGTTCGACGCATTAGGTTCATCATCAGATTGAACATCATTAGTATTTTCGTCGGACAAAATATTAAATCGATTAGCAGTCTTAGCTGTCTTTTGATATTGTTTTTGTCGAACTCGACGTTGTCGACGACGAAAGGAAGATGTTGTCATTGTGGTTTGCTGTTGATTGCGTCGATCGTCTTGCTGGTGTGGTATTTCGGTTTGATCATCAACTTCAAATGGTTGTGTTGCATTTGTTGTTGTTGTACCAGTATTAGCAGCAACATTTCGACGTTGTGGCAATGCATTAAGGGGTGTGACTGGACGAGTATTAGGTGCTGTTGTCGTTGAGGGTGAGGGTGAGTAAAGCTAGTCAAGACATGTTTTGTCCTTGCTAAAGGGACTCCTCAGTTGACTTGTACTCATTCAATTGTAAATGATTACGAAAATCAAAACAAATTGAAATAATCTATCAAAATTCAAAAGAAGAATAAAATCTTCAATTAAAAGTAATAGATATCCATATAGAAGGGTGAGTAAAGCTAGTCAAGAGGGTGAGGGTGAGTCTATTAGAAGAATAAATATTCCAAGCTTCTTACGACTAGTTTCGTCCTTGCTTAAGGGACTCATCAGGTAAGTAAGGAATTTAAATCTACATAAGAAACAAAAAGAATTAATCTCAAATTCAAAAGAAAAAAATATTCGAATCTTCTGGCTTCTTTTAAATCTTTGTATCATATTATATGTCGATGATTATCATATGTACCTATAACATATTGGATAGACATCAAATACATCAAATATTTTATAAACTCTTCCAATTATTATTTATCCTCAAGTTAACGAACAGTGGGTCATATATTCAATTAAACCAGAAGACGTCCCCATCTTTACTTCTTGCGACTTCCATTCATCTCGTTACTATCCTTATCTTTATTGCTGCGTTTAAACATATTATTGAATTCATTCAACCATATTCGCCTATACCACCTTCTTCCTCTGCATTCTGACCGGACTGCGTAGTAGGTAGAAGAACAGTTTATTCTCCTACAACAATAAAGAAGAATTCGCTGCCGCTGTTAATCATCCTCAATCACTATCAACACAACCCAACCCCTGCCTATCCTCTTTTTTCATACAGATATTTCATTTGTCACGCTTTCTTCTATATTCCAATTTCCATTCTCTTTATTCCCTTTTATTTTTCTTTTTTTTCTCCTTTTCAATTTTGGTTTTAACTGTTTTTAATATTTGTTTCTTATGCAGAGTGTCCTGATGAGTGTTTATAGTTTAAATTAATAACACGAAACGTGTCGGCAAAATCAAAAACTCTGCATTTAATTGATTAAAAAGTACCAATTATTGACGAAAGATCGATTGCTAAAAAGCAAAAGTTGAGATCCAGCAGATTGATTTGTCTTTTTGTTAAAAGATAGATTTTTCTGTTTATCAATTGATTAACCCTCACAAATTTCAATTTATTTGACAACTTTTTGTTCGTATCATTCTCCTTTCAGTCGAGGCAATTTATGTTCTATCTTTAGTTTATCCAAAAACAAATTATAATATTACTGTAAATGAATATATTCAATGGAAAATTGATCCAATGAATTCACATAGAATTTCAATTGAACCAATTCAACAATCTACCTTTTATCAATTGACGAAAAATGTTTTAGCAACAGTGAAAATTGTCTCAACTGTTTCATCATTTTGATTTTCTTCGAATAAATATCAATTCAGTCGAATTTCTGAAAAGCTTTTAACAATGAAAGAATATACTAATAATATTACTATGATAATAATTGGTGACGAGTATATTAACAATTGAATAAGTTGTTTGATTGAGAAATGTGCCGTTACTCACGTTAAGGAGAACATTAACATTATATCCTCGAAAGTATCCAACGATAATATCGAGTTTTGTATCAACATTTATATCTGCTAATGCTAATGAAGAGGAAGCAGAATTAAAGGAGGAAATAAACTGAGGAAGAAATGTACCATTGACCAAGTTCAAAAGGATACCTACACTATTTCAACCTTGATTTGTTAATATTATGTCACGTTTATTATCGTTATTTACATTACCTATCATTATACTGTTCGAGGAGTTGTGCCAACTGAATAAGCAACTTGAGAAAGAAATATCCCATTATTTGAATTGAAAAGAACGCAAATACTGTTCGAACCATAACTTCCAACAATAATATCCAATTTATTATCAGAATTAACATCAAACACCGCAAACTGATGATGACTTCGCACCAGTTCCATAAGCAATTTCATCGTTAAAACTATCATTTCCGTTATTAAGTAATACGCTTATACTGCAACCATCCTAGTTTCAAACTATAATATCAGATTTATTATCGGCATTTACATTAGCTAGTCGTGCTATAGTTGGATGACTGACAACTGCATAAGTAACTTGACTATAAAACATGTTGCTGCAAGCAATCAAATAAAAAAAAGGTTTTATTCACTTGAATGCGTTCTTATAATCTACACCCCCCACCCTCATGCCTAATTTTCTTCTTTTAACCATACACCATAGTATGATTGCAGAAAAACCATCTTATTTATGTTTTAGTTTTTTTTTCTCTAAACTACGTATATCTCTAATGAATCTTTCTCATATAATAAAGTATTAAGATCTATTAGCCGATGAATAGTGTTCCAAGAAAATAAAATATTTTTCTTAAATTTGAACAAACCTAATCAAATCATATCTGAATTTGATACATCAATTAAACAACCATAGAAAACTTAATGATAGAATAAAATGCAACTACTAGGTTACGGCGTCATTCTATTTGTTTTTGTTGATCGAATGTCTTTTAACGACATAAAATAATTGCATTAAGAAAAGATAAAGGTTGACAACATCAGATATTTTATCTAACATATTACTTGTCTAATGTGTATTCATGATATCACTGCTCTGTGTTGTTCTTACCTGTATAAAGTATTTTTTATTCTAACAAAGTCTAATGTGGTCAACATTCGTTTGGTCGTTTACCTCGATAATAATAATCATTAATAGTTTAACTTTAGCAAAACATAAATCCGTAGGTGATACTCGTCGAATAGTATCGACAACTATTCCAGATAGTGAATATGAACAAGTCATTGCTAAACGTTATCTATTTGCACCATTTGCCAATGAATCTACTGCTTGGCCAGTAATGACTAATATTCGTAATGTATATCAAGTTGTTTCATTACCACAATATTATACTCAATCTGCTAAAGAATTTTGGTTATTGACTGAAAGTACTAATTCAACAACTGACTCACTACAAATGTCTTGGATGTCTTTGTCTGACAACAATACTTCAGTAGTTTTGTCGAAAATTGACACGAAAAGTTTTTTGGTTGTTTCACACAATGAAACTACTGGTATGGTTTATACAGCTGCTCTCGTTTCTTTCGAACATATACAATTGATTTTATGCAATCAATCGGATGCAACTTCTTGTAGAATTGTAGAAAGCATTCCATTTCCTTCAATCTTAGCAAATATTTCAAATATTGGAGCTGGTTTGTTTATAGATGATTGGGGAAGAGCAGGATGTTTATATATTGGTACTAATAGAGGATTACATGGATTAGATCTTTCAACATTGATTATTCATCCTTATATTAATGAAATAAATGAATCTGTTTCTTCTTTAGCATGGACTTCAAAACATAGAACAGTTTTTATTGGTACAGAAACTAAACTTTGGATTCATGCATATGACAATAATGATGATGAAGAAGAATGGCGTTTAGAACTAATTACTGGACTTATTGATGGACCTATCACTTCATTAGCTTATAATGATGGACAAGATAAGCTTTGGATAGGGCAAGATACTGGCATTACTCTTCTTTCACCAATTATCATGTCAACAGGACGTGTACATTGGTATTTTTCGAGATTAGCAGGACAAATTTCTTATCCCGGATCCGATATTGGTCATTTACCATTTGCTAATATTACTACTTTAGGTGTAAGCCATTCAACATTACCTGACAGTCGAGTGTGGTTAGGTTCTATTCGTGGAATGATGCGTTTTGATCCAAACGATAGTGACATGAATGCTTGGCGTGTATTTAACAGTGCTCGATATATGCCTAATCGTGATTCATTGGTTAATTTAGTTTCATTAGCTGTATTGAGTCGTGAAAGTAAGGCAGTTGCCGGTATGGGCGGTAGCGCAGTAGCAGTCACCAGTAAAGGGTTAGCTGTTCTCCATTTTGAGATGTGGACATTGGCACGAAAAGCAAAACATTTTCAAGATTTTTTTAATCAAACAAGTAGACATGAGCGATATAATTTGGTATCAAGTTGTAGTATGTCATCATGGGGAGATAGTCGTACTTGTAATAAAGGACCAGATGACAATGATGGTCTTTGCACTTCAAAATATTTAAGTAGTCAAATCTTTCGCTATAAAGTAACTCAAGATGAAGCAGTGAAAACATCTGCATGGGCTCATTTTGAAGCATTAGAACTTCTTAATAAAGTGACAGGTATTTCTGGTTATCCTGCTCGTACAATTGCGAAACGTACTGATACTCCTCCTGCTCCGCATAAATGGTATTTGTCTCCTGTTTATCCAACTCTTCAATATGAGGGTGATACTTCATCTGATGAAGCTGTTGGACATGAATATGTTTATCCATTAGTACATGATATTTTGGCTAGTAATGATGATGAACGGCAAAGAGCTTACACATTGCTCTTCAATATCACGAATCATATTTTAACTCATGATTGGTATCTGGAAGGTGTGAATGGCACTCAAAGAGGTGTTTGGAATCCGTTAGATATAAATAGTGATGTTGGCTATGTAGACGAACGGGGACTTGGTAGTCTCGAAATATTGGCTTTTCTAATTCAAACTTATGCTTATAGTGGTGATGAACGTTTTCTTAATGCTACTAAACTTCTTATTGAAACCTATCATTATGATGTTAATATCATTAATCAAAAAATGATTGCAGTTTGTCAAGTGAAATTTTGGAATAATGAATTGGCTTATTTATCTTATTTTAATTTAGTCTCTGCAATCAACAAACTTAGTTCTACGTCTACTTTATCTACAGCACAAAAGGAGCGTGCACAATCAGTTGTCAATAAACTATTAGAATATATGACGACTGGATTAGAATTAGCGCATAAGTACATACATATGGATAAATCACCATTCTATAATTTCATCTATTGTTATGCTACTGGTCAAGTTAATCAAACTCAACATTTATTCAAAAAACTTCGTGGATTTTCTCCTGAATTCGATTGTAATTCATTAACAAAGGATGGTATATGGAATATGCAACGTTGGCCATTGGAACTTATCAATTGGCCACAATTCAATAGTGATCGATTGGATGTTCAAATAAACGTACCTGCTTTTTGTGATGTGGAGAGAGCA